GACACAGCAAAAGCTGTCTTAAGAGGAAAGTTTATAGCTCTACAAGCATTCCTCAGAAAGGACGAGCGAGCCCACATAAATAAACTAACCTCACAGCTTAAGAACTTGGAGAAGGACCAACAAAAGGAGCAAAACCCTAAAAGGAGGAAGGAAATAAAACTCAGAGCAGAGATTAATGAGATGGAAACCCAAAAAACAATCCGAAAGATCAATGAAACCAAGAGCTGGTTCTTTGAGAAAATTAACAAAATCGATAAGCCCCTAGCAAAACTCACAAAGTAAGGGAGAGAGTAAACCCTAATAAACCTAATCAGAAATGAAAAGGGGGTCATTACAACAGAAACTACAGAAATTCAAAGGATCCTCAGGGAGTACTTGAGAAGCTTTATGCCACAGAATATCAAAACCTTGAGGAAATGGATAAATTCCTAGACTCCTACAGACTCCCAAGGCTGAACCAAGAAGACCTGGAATACCTGAACAGACCTATCACCATCAAGGAAATTGAAATGGTAATAAAAAGTCTCCCCAAGCACAAAAGCCCTTGCCCGGATGGATTCACCAGTGAATTCTTCCAAATATTTAAAGAAGACTTACTCCCAATCCTCTTTAAGCTTTTACATGAAATTGAAATATCAAATACACTTCCGAACAGTTTCTATGAAGCAAATATCACACTGATACCAAAAGCAGACAGAGATAACACAAAGAAAGAGAACTACAGGCCGATATCCCTGATGAACACAGATGCAAAGATCCTCAACAAACTACTAGCAAATAGAATCCAACTACTCATCAAAAAGATCATACACCATGACCAAGTAGGATTCATCCCAGGGATGCAAGGATGGTTTAACATTCGGAAATCAATCATCATAATCCATCATATCAACAAAAGAAAAGATAATAAGCATATGATCATATCAATAGATGCAGAGAAAGCATTTGACAAGATCCAGCACCGCTTTATGATGAAAACCCTAGCCAAAATGGGTATAGAGGGGACTTTCCTCAGCATAGTTAAAGCCATCTACCATAAGCCTACAGCAAGCATCATCCTCAATGGGGAAAAACTGAGAGCCTTCTCTCTAAGATCAGGGATGAGACAAGGATGCCCACTATCTCCACTGCTGTTCATTATAGTACTGGAAGTACTTGCAATAGCGATTAGGCAAGAAAAAGATATGAAGGGCATTCAGGTAGGAAAGGAAGAAATCAAGCTCTCACTATTCGCAGATGATATGATACTATACTTAGAGAACCCAATAACCTCCACCAAAGAACACCTAGAAACAATAGACTTGTATAGTAAAGTTGCAGGCTATAAAATCAATACCCAAAAGTCCATGGCTTTCCTATACGCAAACAGTGAGAGAGAGGAAAGCTATATGAAAAAATCAATCCCATTCACAATTGTGCCCCAGAAAATCAAGTACCTAGGAATCAGCTTAACTAAGGAAGTAAAGGACCTGTAAAAAGAAAACTACAAAACGTTACTTCAGGAAATAAAAGAGGACAGGAGGAAATGGAAAAACATCCCCTGCTCATGGGTCGGGATACTTAACATTGTCAAAATGGCAATACTGCCGAAAGCACTGTACAAATTCAATGCAATTCCTATAAGGATACCCATGACATTCTTCAAAGAAATGGAGCAAACACTCCTGAGATTTATATGGAACAATAAACCCCTGGGAATAGCTAAAGCAATTCTTGGGAAAAAGAAAATGGGAGGAATCAACCTCCCGAACTTCAAACTGTACTACAAAGCGGTAATAATCAAAACAGCATGGTACTGGAACAAAAGCAGAACTGCAGACCAATGGAACAGAGATGAATACACTGACATCTCCCCTCAATCATATGATCATCTAATCTTTGATAAAGGTGCAAGTAGTGTGAAGTGGAGTAAGAAAAGCCTCTTTAACAAATTGTGCTGGCATCACTGGACGGCTACATGCAAAAAAATGGGCTCAGAACTCTGCCTAACACCATGTACAAAGGTAAGATCAAAATGGATTAAAGACCTCAACATCAGACCAGAAACCATAAGATATATTGAAGACAAAGTTGGCAAAACCCTCCATGGCATTGAGGCTAATGGTATTTTCAAAGATGACACACCACTGGCTGAGCAAGTGAAAACAGAGATAGATAAATGGGACTATCTTAAACTAAGAAGCTTCTGTACCTCCAAAGAAACAGTGACCAAAATACAAAGACAGTCTACAGAATGGGAAAGAATATTCGCCGAATACACATCTGACAAGGGGTTGATATCAAGGATATACAAAATACTGGTTGAACTCCACAAGAAGAAAACATCCAACCCCATCCAAAAATGGGGCAATGAAATGAACAGAAACTTTCTCAAAGAAGAAATCCGAATGGCAAAAAAGCACATGAGAAAATGCTCTACATCATTAATCATCAGGGAGATGCAGATCAAAACCACAATGAGATACCATCTCACACCTCAGAGACTGGCCCACATTCAAAAGAACAAAATAAACCGATGCTGGCGTGGATGTGGCGAGAAAGGGACACTCCTTCACTGTTGGTGGGAATGTCCACTGGTTCAGCCCTTCTGGAAAACAGTATGGACAATTCTCAAAAAATTAGAAATTGAGCTCCCATTTGACCCAGCAATACCACTCCTGGGAATATATCCCAGAGAGGCAAAAATGTATAGTCGAAGTGACATCTGCACTTGTTTGTTCATTGCAGCACTCTTTACAATAGCCAGAAACTGGAAGAAACCTGAATGCCCAAGAACAGATGACTGGTTAAAGAAACTTTGGTACATCTACACAATGGAGTACTATGTAGCTGTTAGAAAAGATGAAGTCATGAAATTTGCATACAAGTGGTACAATATGGAAAGTATCATGCTAAGCGAAATGAGTCAGAAAGAGAGGGATAGACATAGAAAGATTGCATTCATCTGGAGGATATAAAGTAACAAAATATGAGATTAATACCCAAGAATAGCTGAGATCAGCACCACGAGAATTACTCCATAACTTAGAGGCCAGCCGGGTATCTTAGAGGAAAGGGCAGTTCAGATAGAGAATGGAGCACCAAATAAAGGATGTTTGGAGGATCCTCCCAGGAGGGGTGATGCATGTCGAAAGTAGACTATGGACTGAACATGTTTGCCACTCAATGCCTCTTTTGCAGACCACAACACCCAAAAGGAGAGAGAGAACACAGGGGATTGCCCTGCCATAGAGACAGGGGGGATGGGGTGATGGGGGTGGGAGGGATAAAAGAAAAAAAAAGAAAAAAGAAAGAACAAAAGCAACCGTTGCTGGCACGGATGTGGCGAGAAAGGGACACTCCTTAACTGTTGGTGGGAATGCCGAGTGGTTCAGCCCTTTTGGAAAACAGTATGGACGTTCCTCGAAAAATTAGAAATTGAGCTCACATTTGACCCAGCGATACCACTCCTGGGAATATATCCCAGAGAGGCAAAAATGTGTAGCCGAAGTGACATCTGCACTTGTTTGTTCATTGCAGCACTCTTTACAATAGCCAGAAACTGGAAGAGACCTGAGTGCCCAAGAACAGATGACTGGTTAAAGAAACTTTGGTACATCTACACAATGGAGTACTATGTAGCTCTTAGAAAAGATGAAGTCATGAACTTTACATACAAGTGGTACAATATGGAAAGTATCATGCTAAGCGAAATGAGTCAGAAGAGAGGGATAGACATAGAAAGATTGCATTCATCTGGGGGATATAAAGTAACAAAATATGAGATTAATACCCAAGAATAGCTGAGATCAACACCAGGAGAATTACTCCATAACTTAGAGGCCAGCCGGATATTCTAGGGGAAAGGACAATTCAGATAGAAAGGGGTACACTAAGTGGAGGGTGTTTGGAGGATCCTCCCAGGAGGGGAAATGCAGGTTGAAAGTAGACTGGACTGAACATGTTCGCCACTCAATGCCTCTTTTGCTGATCACAACACCCAAAAGGAGAGAGAGAACAAAGGGAATGCCCTACCACAGTAGCAGGGGGGGGATGGGGGGATGGGGGAATGGGGGGGGAGGGATATTATCCCGGTGGTGGAAAATGGGCACTGGTGGAGGGATGGGTATTTGATCGTGGTATGACCGAGATCCAAGCACAAAAATTTGTAAATCTACAACTGTACCTCATGGTGTTTCACTAATAATTAAAAAAAAAACTACTCCTTGGTATATGTAAAAGTGTGTGACTGTATATATGTGTCTAGATGTGCGTTTTCTCATGAGCTATTCTATTCTACAACAATTATATAGTTATTCTATAATTATATTTCTATTTTGTAATGTTTATAATTATATTTTATATACTTATAATTAGTAGTTATTCTATAATTATATACTTATACTATAGTTATTCTGTATTCTTTGGCATATGTAAAAGTGTGTATGTAGTGTATGTATATGTGTGTCTAGATGTATGTGTACTCATGAGTTATCTTCAGTCACATAGGCCAGTCCAGTGATCAAAGAAAGATAATGGCTTGATAATGAAGCAAAATGTTAAACTAAAATAATTGTAAAAACAGATAAAATGATTGAACTTCAAGATAAGTTGCAGGAAACCTATAAAAAAAACAACAGAATATGGGAAAATTCTCCAAGTAAATAAATAGCACACAAGTGAACCATGTGCTAAGTTCAAGGGAATCATGGGCATTCCCAAGGAAGAGGAAGGTGACAGGTTACATTGATTAGTCACATTCAAAGTGATATAGCACTAACTAACATACTTTGTGTAAAATAATTCATCACATTTTCCCCATGATATCAAGTGAAGTGGTTCATGAAAAATGTTCCCCTTTTATCCTTTAAATTTTTGTTTTAGTGTTCTTCTATTCAAAATGATTACTACAGAAAGCTATCTTTATCAGGCCATTAACTCACCCAGCCCCTCTGTCTCCTACCAATAGCCACTTTATTAATTAATATTTGTTTACACCTTATTTCAGTTGAGATACTCACCCATTCTCTCTGAATGGTGATCTACTTGAGAGGGAGAGCTGGACTCACTGCTGCTGGATTGTGAGTATGTCTGACTCACAGGGTACTGAACTTCTTCCAAAGAATGATCAAGAGAAGGACTCTCAGCCATCTGCTCCTCACAGGAAAAGAGACACAAAAGGAAATCTCAACTATGAATCAATATTTTCATGTTATCCAAGTACATAATACTTGGAATGCTAAGCTCTGATTTACACTAAAAGCAAAAACATTTAAAATAAGTGATTTCAACGTAATTTATCCAATTATGTTTATCTCTTTTGAATCACTGTATGGAATAAACAGGGAGAGGATAGCACTTATGTTAAGCAAACGTAGAGCTATACGGTAATATATTTGTATTGTGTCAAAGAGAGGTTATATACAGTCATAATAAAACTTAAAATATAGTTATTCATAAACTAAATGTTTTGGAAAAGAAATTACATAACTTGTCCTTGCCCACTCTGGATAATGCACTGCACTGCACTGCACTGTCCTCCCGTTGTTCATTGACTTTGCTCAAGCAGGCCTAGTAACATTATGAGACTTGTTACTGTGTTTGGCATATTGAATATGTCACGGGTAACTGAAAATTCATTCTCAATTTCAAAACAATTGAAATAACATCTACAGACAAAAAATACAAATAATAGGAAATGTATAATGCTATATGAAGAGATCTCGAAAGTTGCTTTAATTTGGCACCTGTCAAATATTAGCACATATAATTAATTCATGGACTTCATTGTCTTTGTCAACACATTCACTGAAAAATAAACTTACTGAAAACATTAGTTAGAGTGACAGCAACATTGCTAACTAAGATTTTGCACTTTCCAAATTAGTTGGAGTTTAACAAAGTAACAAAATAGAAGACTAACACCCAAGAGTGGCCCAGATTAGTACCAGGAGTTTTGCTCCATGGCTTGTAGGCTTTAGGGGAAAAGGTAGCTCAGCTAGAGAAAGGAGCACCAAATAAAGCATGTTGGGAGGATCCTCCCAGGATGGGAGAAGCATGCTGAAAGTAGACTACAGACCAAACATGGTTGCCACTCAATGCCTCTTTTGCAAACCACAACACCCAAAAGGAGAGAACAAAAGGGAATACCCTGCCACAGAGGCAGGGTGGGATGGAGGCATGGGGAGTGGAGGGATACTGGGACCCGTGGTGGTGGAAAATGGGCACTGGTGGAGGAATGGGTGTTTGATCATTGTATAATGGAAACCCAAACACAAAAATTTGTAAATCTACAACTGTACCTCATGGTGTTTAAGGTAAAGGTAAAGGTAAAGGCCCTCCCGTTGATCGTCGATTTGCTCGAGCGGGCCCAGTAACGTCTCCATTGGAGACTTTGTTGTTACTGTGTCTGGCATATCGAATACTCTCGGTAGCTTGCCGGGCTCTCTGAGAGGGGCGGAGGAATCGAACTCGGGTCAGCCATGTTGGCCGCTTGTAAGGCGAACGCCCTACCCGCTGTGCTATCGCTCCAGCCCTGGTGTTTCACTAACAAAAATTTAAAAAAAAAGATAAATGATGGAGAATGGGCACTGGTGAAGGGATGGATACTGGATCATTGTATAACTGAAACCCAAACACAAACATTTGTAAGTCTACAGCTGTACCTCATAGGGTTTCACTAATAAAAATTGAAAAAAAGAATAAAAAGAAATAAAAGAATTTAAAAAACAAATTAGTTGGAGTTTAGTTCATTGTAATATATTTTCTAAAGTTTCAATATTTTCTTTTTTTTCCCCAGTCACTCTCCCTACTCCAATCTACTTCCTTAGACACTTAACAAATTTACTTTATATTGATTGCTCCAACAAACTTGAAGAAATGGCAAATAGAATGATCAGAAAATACATCAGTACATGAAAATTAAAACTATTTAATACAATATAATTAAATTCCTTCTCTCATTTACATAAGTTTTCAACGCTGGAATCCATGAATATTGCATTAAATTTTATTTTATACTTGAATCTCATTATGTAATATCACACCTTACCAGTGATTAATTTAAATTTTTTAAAATTCTGTGATGATAAATTTTTTTAATATTTAAAAAAATTTTTTTATTACTGAAACACCATGAGGTACAGTTGTAGATTTACAATTTTTTGTGCTTGGGTTTGGATTATACAATGATCAGATACCCATCCCTCCACCAGTGCCCATTTTCCACCACCATGGATAATATCCCCCCCACCCCCATCCCCCCATCCCCCCCTGCCTCTGTGGCAGGGCAATCCCCTGTGTTCTCTCTCTCCTTTTGGGTGTTGTGGTCTGCAAAAGAGGCATTGAGTGGCAAATATGTTCAATCCATAGTCTACTTTCGACATGCATCTCCCCTCCTGGGAGGATCCTCCAAACACCCTTTATTTGGTGTTCCCTTCTCTATCTGAGCTGCCCTTTCCTCTAGAATGCCTGACTGGCCACTAAGCTATGGAGTAATTCTCCTGGTGCTGATCTCAGCTATTCTTGGGTATTAGTCTCATATTTTGTTACTTTATATCTCCCAGATGAATGCAATGTTTCTATGTCTATCCCTCTCTTTCTGACTCATTTCGCTTAGCATGATACTTTCCATGTTGTACCACTTTTATGTAAATTTCATGACTTCATCTTTTCTAAGAGCTACATAGTATTCCATTGTGTAGATGTACCAAACTTTCTTTAACCAGTCATCTGTTCTTGGGCATTCAGGTTTCTTCCAGTTTCTGGCTATTGTAAAGAGTGCTGCAATGAACAAACAAGTGCAGATGTCGCTTCGACTATACATTTTTGCCTCTCTGGGATATATTCCCAGGAGTGGTATTGCTGAGTCAAATGGGAACTAAATTTCTAATTTTTTGAGAATCGTCATACTGTTTTCCAGAAGGGCTGAACCAGTCGACATTCCCACCAACAGTGAAGGAGTGTCCCTTTCTCGCCACATCCACGCCAGCATCGGTTTATTTTGTTCTTTTGAATGTGGGCCAGTCTCTGAGGTGTGAGATGGTATCTCATTGTGGTTTTGATCTGCATCTCCCTGATGATTAATGATGTAGAGCATTTTCTCATGTGCTTTTTTGCCATTCGGATTTCTTCTTTGAGAAAGTTTCTGTTCATTTCATTGCCCCATTTTTGAATGGGGTTGGATGTTTTCTTCTTGTGGAGTTTAACCAGTATTTTGTATATCCTGGATATCAACCCGTTGTCAAATGTGTATTCGGCGAATATCCTTTCCCATTATGTAGACTGCCTTTGTATTTTGGCCAATGTTTCTTTGAAGGTGCAGAAGCTTCTTAGTTTAAGATAGTCCCATTTATCTATCTCTGTTTTTACTTGCTCAGTCAGTGGCGTGGCATCTTTGAAGATACTATTAGCTTCAATGTCATGGAGGGTTTTGCCAACTTTGTCTTCAATGTACCTTACGGTTTCTGGTCTTATGTTGAGGTCTTTAATCCATTTTGATCTTACTTTTGTACATGGTGTTAAGCAGAGTTCTGAGCCTATTTTTTTGCATGTAGCCGTTCAGTGATGCCAGCACAATTTGTTAAAGAGGCTTTTCTTACTCCACTTCACACTACTTGCACCTTTATCTAAGATTAGATGATCATATGATTGAGGGGAGATGTCAGTGTATTCAACTCTGTTCCATTGGTCTGCAGTTCTGCCTTTGTGCAAGTACCATGCTGTTTTAATTATTACTGCTTTGTAGTACAGTTTGAAGTTCAGGAGGTTGATTCTTCCCATTTTCTTTTTCCCAAGAATTGCTTTAGCTATTCATGGGGGCTTATTGTTCCTTATAAATTTCAGGAGTGTTTGTTCCATTTCTTTGAAGAATGTCATGGGTATACTTATAGGGATTGCATTGAATTTATACAATGATTTCGGTAGTATTGCCATTTTGACAATGTTAAGTCTCCCGACCCATGAGCAGGGGATATATTTCCATTTCCTCATATCCTCTTTTATTTCCTGAAGTAGCGTTTTGTAGTTTTCTTTGTACAGGTCCTTTACTTCCTTAGTTAAGCTGATTCCTAGGTACTTGATTTTCTGGGGCACAATTGTGAACGGGATTGTTTTTTTCATGTTGCTTTCTTCTCTCTCACTGTTTGCATATAGGAAAGCCATGGACATTTGGGTATTGATTTTAAAGCCTGCAACTTTTCTATATGAGTCTATTGTTTCTAGGAGTTTTTTGGTGGAGGTTATTGGGTTCTCTAAGTATAGTATCATATCATCTGCGAATAGTGAGAGCTTGATTTCTTCCTTTCCTACCTGAATGCCCTTAATATCTTTTTCTTGCCTAATCGCTATTGCAAGTACTTCCAGTACTATATTGAACAGCAGTGGAGATAGTGGGCATCCTTGTCTCGTCCCTGATCTTAGAGGGAAGTCTCTCAGTTTTTCTCCATTGAGGATGATGCTTGCTGTAGGCTTGTGGTAGATGGCTTTAATTATGTTGAGGAAGGTCCCCTCTATACCCATTCTGGCTAGGGTTTCCATCATAAAGGGGTGCTGGATCTTGTCAAATGCTTTCTCTGCATCTATTGATGTAATCATATGCTTTTTATCTTTTCTTTTGTTGATATGATGGATTATGATGATTGATTTCGAATGTTGAACCGTCCTTGCATCCCTGGGATGAATCCTACTTGGTCATGGTGTATGATCTGATGAGTAGTTGGATTCTATTTTCTGGTAGTTTGTTGAGGATCTTTGCATCTGTGTTCATCAGGGAAATCGGTCTGTAATTCTCTTTCTTTGTGGTATCTCTGTCTGCTTTTGGTATCAGTGTGATATTTGCTTCGTAGAAACTGTTCGGAAGTGTTTTTGATATTTCAATTTCGTGGAAAAGCTTAAAGAACATTGGGAGTAAGTCCTCTTTGAAGATTTGGAAGAATTCACTAGTGAATCCATCCGAGGCAGGATTTTTGTGCTTGGGGAGACTTTTTATTACCATTTCAATTTACCTTGATAGTGATAGGTCTGTTCAGGTATTCCAGGTCTTCTTGGTTCAGCTTTGGGAGTCTGTAGGAGTCTAGGAATTTATCCATTTCCTCAAGGTTTTGATGTTCTGTGGCATAAAGCTTCTCAAAGTACTCCCTGAGGATCCTTTGAATTTC